TCAAGTGTTACGTGCACGAATGACCAACAAATGTCCGCTAACAAAGCATATATGAAAATAGACTCCCGAGTACGATATATGGCACGCAACAAAAATGTAACAACAAGCAGTTACCCATTTTAACTATTATTTAATTAGTTTTACATTGTCTAATTTACTTAGGTTAAAGATTAAGTTAAGCAGTTCATAAAGCAGGCTTACAATCCTTCATGCCGTGTAAGTGTTCGTCGTCTTGATCAACTTCCAATTCCAACATCCGCCGACTGAAGACCACAGCGCTTGGCTTTCTTGATTTATCGCATTCTTTCCTTGTACACAAACTCTTCCGGAGGACTCCATAGTAAACTCTGTATTCTCTATCTTCTTCCTCTCTCGACTATCGTCTTTTTCATCTCTTTCTTCTCTCCGGATATCGCAAGGTCAAAAGGTCATAGCCTCGTCATATCATAGCTTCCAAAAGTTCAGTCAGCAAGCCACGAGGGTAAGCCCTCGGGCAAATCTCTTTTGTACTTCTCACAAGCCAGCTTTTATACATTTACTTTAGTTATCTAGAATGTTCTATTACTATTTATAGCGTATTACAAGTTGTACTATTTTTGGAAACTGCTGAGTCACATGAAAGAAGTTTCTGGAATATTACAGATTATAGATAATTCTAGAAAAGTCTGGGATTGCGTGACAGATTCAGTAAAAATAATTCGATCCTCGTAACAGTAATAGTTCACAATCTGAAGCTGTAAGAAAATTAATCACGTATCAATGATTTGAAATATATCAAAATGGAAAATGAAAGCTTCACGAAGTTGAATGAACTTACGTTTCTCCAAGCTGGTCCAACATTAGAAGCCACAAAACAGACAACAGCATTAAGCATCCAACCTTTAACGTTAACAAACAAAACCTTATCCGAACTGCAAAAGTGCCTAGTCAATGAAAAACTAAAACTTCAGACAGTTCACGGAGGTCACGTTGTGAAGTTTGACTGTCTTGTTCCAGTCCCTGTGATTCTGGAGTCTGCAAGTCCGCATAACAGGCTGGGTAGGTGAAATTTGATTTTTGCTAGCTAACTTTTGCAGATGAAGGAAAGGAACTTGATGACTACGAAATACAGTCGACTCACAAAGGAGCAAAATTTGCAATATACTACAAAGATTCAGAACAACAAGCTGGACAAGATGTTAGTGAACAGCAAAACCCAATTCTACAGCAAGGTATAGTATACATGTTGTAGTTTTAAGTGATTAAGGTCAAGTTGATTTCAATCAGTGTCATATTTATCTTTCTCTGTTTAAGTAATATAGTATGGTAGCTAGAACAAACCAATCTGAAATAGTTTTGACTTGAAATTTATGTTGCATTACACTACATTGACATGATAGTGAGATTTGTTCAGTTTATTTAGTGTATTCAATAGTTGCACTTTGGAAATTAGTATAACCTGAGAAGGGGCCATACATTGTATGCAGTGTAAGGTGCATGAGTCATTATAACTGGCACTCGGTAACCTATATAATTGCCATAAAATGATAAATAAAAAAATAGATAAGCTTACAATTTATCGAGTCCTCATTGCAAGCTTTACAGTATGAAAGAGAGCGAAACAAATATTTCAAATTAATATATAAGTGCTTGAAAATCTCAATTGGAAATCCAATTCGTTATCCAGTCTGTAATCTGATTCGGTCCGATCCAGGTTTTGTGGAGGAGGTCAGATCACATGTACTTTGCAGAATTTAGATGGACTGCATTCTTCTGTTAAATATCTTTGCAAGGTTAATCATTGTAACTCAACCAAATGTGATTAATCTTGAGGAAACATGACTCCTTCCCTCTTGTGTGCATGTAGCGTATGTTGATGGGTGAAATTTTTTTTGTCATGAAATATGCACAGTAAGAAGTTGCCCTAACCCATTACTCTCCAACATCAGTATGCATATTCTCCATACTGTTCTCTATACATTCCTAAGGTGCTGTAAAAGAGAATTTGTTTAAAAATCAAGAACTTCTTTAGTTGTTAATCGATTCCTATATGTCCATGACCTTAATGATTGATACAGATGTGATATTGTTAGGAAATATTAGAAGTGAGTCACTCTCAGTGGTTTAAGGGCTAAGGGTTTATTAATTCTTTATATAGATGTTGGTGGTGTCAATACTCTTTGCGGAGGAAACTTTCACCTGAAAAAAAACGAATATGCATTGAGAGGTGAATTAAGATCAGGTAGGAAAATGCACAAAGCTTAATTTTTTCCTGAATTAAGTTAACGAAAGGAATGCCATTTCCAAAGGTGTAATGAATAGCAATTGAGTAGTGCAACTTTTGTACATGCACTAAACAAAGGGTAGCAGGTTTTGTTGGAAAAGACAAAGTGTCTTTAAATTATCTTTGCACCAAAGCTTTACGTCATCCTTTTTCTTATAAGCTGACATTTTCCAACTAGCAGCCTGGCATGGTGCTTTTTGAGGGTTAGATCTAAATAAGGAAAAATATCTTTAAGTAACTTCAATAAAGAATACTTTAGGAATGTAGGCTGTTCTTGCTGACAGCCCCTCAACATTGTGACGTGAAGTAGACATCTATCATTTAGTTGGCTGGATAGGTGAAATTTGATTTTCGATAACTAACTCTTGCAGATGAAGGAAAGGAACTTGATGACTATGAAATGCTGTTGACTCACAAAGGAGCAAAATTTGCAATATACTACAAAGATTCAGAACAACAAACTGGACAAGATGTTAGTGATCAGCAAAACCCAAATCCACAGCAAGGTATGGTGTACATGTTGTAGTTTTAAGTGGGTCAGGTCAAAAATGATTTCAATCAGTGAGAAATGTATATTTCTCTGTTTAGGGAATATAGCATGGTAGCTAGAACAAACCAATCTGAAAAAATTTTTGACTTGGAATATATGTTCAATTACACTACTTTGACATGACAGTGACATATGTTCAGTTTATTTCGTGTATTCTTTGCACTTTGGAAATTAGTATAACCTGAGAAGGGGCCATACATTTTATGCAGTGTAAGGTGCATGAATCATTACAACTGGCACTCGGTAACCAATATATTTGCCATAAAACGATAAATAAAAAAATAGATAAGCTTACAATTTAATAAGCTAGTCCTCATTGCAAGCCTCTAAGGGCTTTGCAATATAAAAGAGAGTGAAACGAATGTTTCAAATAAACCTAAAGTGCTCGAAAATCCAAACTGGCAGGAGGCAGACTAGTTGGTTATTAGTAATAATGCACAATGCAGCCGTTGAGTTGATTACGGGGGGACCGAGAACAAATCTAGTGAGTAGCAGGTTTGAGGAATTGAGCTCGAGACCACCAGATCACAAGTCCGGGACCCCAACCACTCTTTCACGCCCCTCCACAGTCATCTCACTGTTTTAGCATATACCTAAAACAACTATTTACCTCAGTGTTGGTGGCGAACTGTGGTTATTAACCTTGCCCCTTCGCGGATCGGAAAATATCTGCCATCAGCCACCTCCACCTCTGTGTAGTTGTTAATCATAAGTTCAGTTAAAAAATCAAATTATCCTGTAATACCCCCACCGCCGTAGCACCACTATTTCAATTTGTAGAAATTTAGCCCCTTTATACATTTGGCATTGGGGTTCGTTCGCTATTAGCACATTAAGCTTAATTTTCAGTAACAGTGTCAGTAATAAATATGTCATTATTTGATAGATCCGTTCTTTGGTGGGAGTGGTGAAAACTCATCATCATTTCTACCTGGGAGTAGTCTAGGTTCAGTACCTGACAATAATGGAAGCAGAAGGCATGGAGCTGGAAATCATACAAATAACATGGAGAAGCGTAAATCAGATTCAGTGAACAAAGATAACAATGGTAAGGGTTTCCTTTTAATCTTACGGTCCTTTTGATGTCTTGCAATTTAAAAGGTTACTTCACAATTGTCTTCAATTGTTCCTTGTAGAAACAATTACTCCTTGGCTACAGGTAATATAACTCAAACTGCGTACCTGAAAGAAGTCAAAACTAAATTTCTAGAACTTGCGAGCAGGTAATCACTTCGACCCAAGCCCCAGGGGGTCTAGTATTAATAATTAGTGCCAGATCCCGGCGAACCTCACTCAGACTCGTCTCAAATCTTCCCAGGTGCTGAGAAACACGCCTCTTGCAGCGCCACAATGATAATCAGGGCCTGCTCGAAGGCTAAATTTTTCCGAAGATGGTACAGACTTAGAAATAGTGATGTGTGTTCTCCAACTTACAGATAAAAAGAGAAAGACTTAATATAATCCTTTGATATCTATTCCACAGGGATTCCTTTTGAAAATGATTTTACTAATCAGGGTGGAATTATTTCTTCTTTATGGTCATTTACATCGAAGGGGAAGGAATTTCTTAGTCAGGCAATGATTCTTTTCGTGCAGATTGTGTCACATTCACATTAAGTAACAGCGAGGGAGTAAGAAAAGAGGACACTGTAGAGTACTCAGTGGATCAGTGCACTTCTGCTGAAGGTCTGCACTTGGAATTCACCATCTTTTAATTTTAATTTTATTTTTGACCTAAGTGAGGAAGAAAGGAAACTTAGTTTATCATGGTCATATGCATTGAAAGGGAAGGAATTTCTTAGTCAAGCAATGATTCTTTTCGTGCAGGTTGTGTCACATTCACATCAAGTTATAGCCAGGGAGCGAGAAGAGAGAACGCTCGAAAGCTCTCAGCGAATCAGTACATATCTCCTGAAGGTCTGCACTTGGAATTTACCATCTGTTAATTTTATTTATGACTAAAGTGAAGCGGCTTCTCTGAAAGAAACTAAGTATATCATGTCAGATTTTTGTTTCTAAATTGCTCATTTTTTAAAAAAAATTATTACAACTGGGAGTAGCCTAGATTCACGATTTAACAATAATGGAAGCGGAAAGCTTAGAGCTTGAGATGGTACAAATATGGATAAGAAGTGTAGATCGGATTCAGCTCCTTCCAATCATGACTGGTAATTTAAAAGCTTACTACACAAACAGTAAAGAATACGGAAAAAATCTCTAGTAAATATTACAAAAACTTATTTGAATTTGTTTGAAGTGATGCTTCGTTCACAAAATCAAATTTAACCAATCCTATATTGCGATCGTTAAAGCGGCTAGTTTACCCACGTTTAGGCAATTTTAGTGCATTCCGAATGTCGAAAAGCCAAAGAAGGGTATGGATGGAAAGAATAGCGGAATATCGATTTGCCTAAACGTGACGAACATCAGCTCAACTTGTATCATCTCGAATCAAGTAGAAGTGTCATCCTAAATGTTAAGAAATCATCTATATTCGTTAATGAACCAGTAGTTTACCCATAAGTCTGACGCTACTCATTTGAAACGTAAATGTATTTGAATACCATTGTAGGCCCATTGAAATGCGGTTTACTTAAAATATTCTTTTTCCATTGGTTGATAACCTTTTCTTAATTAACTAATCACTTTAAATATTTAAATACACAAACATACATATAAATTTCACATTTTTTAATTTTTAAAGTAAGTTTAGTACTAGGTCATTAGGTGTCCCCAATTAGCGTACGTAGTACGCTAGAGATTTTGACCTGTAATAAAGTTCTTATCTTATCTATCTTATCTTATCTTACAGCGTTACGGTACAAGTCAATGGCTCCTTCTTCGGAATATACCGAAGGAAAAATGAACCACTACAAGCTTAATCACATTGTCTTTGAAGTAATACCTGAAGGCTTGCGGGAAATCTTTAAAAGAGAATGGGACAATCGCTATGGGGAAACCCTGGGAGAATGGAAAGATGAACCAAAAAATGGAAAGGACTTTTGGAACCTTGAATCCCCACCAAACAGAAAAAGAAATTTCCGTCGCTCGGGAACTTTTAGAAATGGTAAAAGGGCTGAATGGGATGTTCCTATGTTGTGTCATGCCATCCTTTCTATCGATTCCCTCGACAGTCTTGATCCAACGGTAAAATCAAGTGTGGAAGACCTAAGAAATGTACGTAATGAATTTGCGCATTCATTACAGGCCGAAATTTCAATCAAAGATTTCCAAAGTACGATTTTGAGAATTAAGGACGCATTTCAAGTGCTTGGCTTACGAGAACCTAAAATCCCGGAAATCGGCCCCAAGGAAGACACCAGAATTCTACTGAAGAAAATTGATGACATCGAAAAGAAGCTTGAAGAGTTGGAATTGAAACATCAACAAAAAGGAAACGAATTTGAGATAATGAGTGAAGAGGAACGATAGACCCTTTAAAAAGGTTTACGGGAGGCAGTAGAATGTTAAAATATGTTCAGCAAAAATTTATGTCCTAAAGTGCAGACCTTGTCAGGTCAATGTGACATATAGCGAGAATATATTAGTTTGCTTAGAACAAATAATGGAAATTGATGAGTATTTCTACCTATTTCTGAGAGGAAACGGAGAAAACATGTATATAAAGCCGTTATAACAAGATTTAACAAAACCTTCTGCACTATCCACCAGATAGAAATTTATCTAGTGGATAGCGTTATCAACCCTCCCAGCTGCCCTAGGCCGGCTGGATGGTAACACCGTATAATGAAGGTACCTTGAAAAAGGTGTTGCGTTTCTGTTTATACATGTAAATATTGAACTGACTGTAGATTGAGTAGAGAAAAGGACAAGGACTGGTCAAATTCGTTGATGGCGGATTTGAATTGAAATGTGTTAAGTATTTCTTGTGGTTTCCCAAGAGGCTGCTGAGCTGCTGAACATACTTAGCCGTGTGAGAACTTGAAAAGTTTTCGACAGTTTTTCTTTTTAAATGACTTGTCGGTTGTAAGGTAGCACTGAGTAATTCTTATTTGAAACAAATTGCAAGACCTTCAACGTTTAAAACAAGGTCTTAAGTTAGTATATTGTAACCATTTTATCAGGTTGATGTCCATTGACAATTTTGTGATATTTAGGGACTTTAAGCAAACCACGACAGCTACGGCAACGAGAACGTGAAAAAACAATAGATTTAATTGGCAGAACAATAGCCCAGCACGTGCGTTTTAAAACTTTGTACATTTCCTAGCCGTCTTTTACAAAACAACAACGTGAAATCACCAAAATTTGCTTCGTCTGCGAGGCGAAACCGCAGCGGCAAATTATTTAAATTTACATTTGGAACTCAACGCTACTTTTATGCGTTAAGTTGAGTTTGAGGTCTGGCACCATATGAGACGGTAAACACATGAAGCCATTTTCGAAATTCTAACTAAAAGTAGAAACTCATTTTTTAATCGAGGTCTTCCGTGGCGTTGCCGTACTGACTGCTTAAAGTCCCTACTATTACATCTGATGTCATTGGAACAGAGAATCGCTCATCGAACTAAAAGCTCTCTTAGAAAAATATTTATTTTATTGGAATTTAACTTTAGGAGGACTTTACGAATTATAATAGTTAAGTATCAGAAGCTTATGAAGGACTAACTCTTAAAATATCGGCTTAAGTAACTTTTTTGGGTGACCAATTCATATTATCAACTCAGTTATTAAAAGCATATTGTTTTGTAATAAGCTGTTAGTGCATATAACCTTTTGCAAGATTATTTATAGGAATGTATCGACTAATCGTAGACATGGGGGCATTGAAAGGTTATTTAAATTTTTTATTCTCTAAATTGAGATCGCATCATAAAATTATTGGTATCTGAATACATGATAACAAAAAATTTCACAGTTTACCCTGTACTTCGTGATATTTTTTGTATGGATACTTTTTCGCGAAGAACAAAGGGGCCAGTCATTAATTATTGCCGGGGGGAAAGAAGTTCAGAGGATTTTGGTTGTATCACAACAAAATTTATCTGATTCCCCTTTAAGGCTCTAGAGTAATTTAATAATCCCACCTCATTGGCAATCAATTTTCTACAGTTCCCCCTTAATTTATGTCAGAAAGGACTGATGCCCCTCCTTTCTGCCAAAAAACCATGCGATTCCTCTTGGGGTGTTAAACAATGACTGATTCCAGGTGGTGTGCGCACTCCGATTGCGTTGCATTGTGGTAGCGTTATTTTCAATATGGCGGCAGAAATCGGCAGATTTTAACGGAATGTTCCGTAAAAGTTAGGCCATTTCTTTTTTCCTTTCACCATGGGTGAATGTAATTTTATATATTCAGGATGTGTAGAAGTATTTTTTGTACGTATTTCTAATGTATTCTATGGTTCTTGAGGACAAACGCTATCACTGTTTTTTAGGTAAGCAATTTGAGAACAATTTCCGAGAAGGTCAATTTTGATGTACATCGTAGTTTGAGGCCTTTCAAAGATTTGGATGGTCTCTTTGATCCTTCTTCAACAGCTCTGATCAAACGCTCTCCAACGGTACACATGTTTTTCATGCATTTAAAGTGTAGTGATTAAGACCCGTTACTTAGCTTTACTATTACAAACACATTTCCTATATATACTCAATAGTGTTGTTAATCTACTTTCCTAGGTGAAAGCAAATAAGGTAATCGCAAGTATTGTATGGTAAATCGATTATCTTGATCACTGAATGAAGGACAGTTCAACAAGAGCAATTAAAGGAGTTCCTTGATCAATGAATAACTCACCTCGCCTAGGTCGATACGCCGGTAAGCCTTAAAGTAAAAGGCAGCCGATCTTTAAAAGGTGTTCAGAGGCTTGTGTGATTCCTGCCATTCGCTAGCGCGTTGAAATCTTCTGCCCTCAAAGTTTAGCTCTCAACAGGATATATTTCAGTGATGGGATAAGGGTCGGCCCGAGTTTAAGGTGTCGTTTCCCCATCTGTATGTTCTCGAGGTTTGGCAAAGCCGGATGAGAATGTAGGATGATAGTTTCTAAAGAAACTGTTTGGGGCTACGACGGTGGGGGTAACGAAATAATTTGGATATATCAACAAAGTTGAAATGGTAAATTGGCTACCGTAACGATTACAAAAGCTGACGTTTCGAGCGTGAGCCCTTCGTCGGAGCGAGTAGAGAAATTGTGGGTTGTGTGTGCTTTTAAAGGCAGAAAATGGAGCTACGAGAAAAACACGAATAAATTAGTGGAATGAAAAGCGTTCGTTGATACCTGTGGGATTTAGACTGCCGGTTTGAAAGATGAGCTTTTGTTGAAGAGTTTTACGGCTTTCCGTGCTACCAAACGGTAAGGAAAGACCGCAGATTGCCATATGTTGCTCAGAATGATTAGGTAAATTAAAATGTCTAGCGGATGAGAATGTGTTACAAAAGGCAATATTTGGAAAGAGTACCATATAACCCCATACATTAATTTTGGAATCAATGCCATCAATTATGTATGCACCCCATTGTTTTTTAAGACAATGACTTGGGTTTAGCATATATACATTGCTAATAAGTACTTACAGCTTCAATAAAAGAGAATTTGATTGAAAGCGGCTTTTTCGTCTCCATTTCTTTCTCACGATCTTCTCCCTTCTCCCCTTTGTTCCCAATAACTT